AATTGATAAGTAATGATATTGCCTACAGTATATATGTATTGTATACATATACAGTATACAGTATCACTTCTCATCCCAAAGAATTCCAAAGCATTTTACATGCATAGAAGAGGATCCAATTTATGCTGTGTAATGTGCACCACCCACCTACAGTAGGTGACACACAGTAGCAGCCATTTAGTTTCAGCAGCCTAGTACACAGACGATCAGGGGGTGAACTCAGAAAGTGAGGAGGAACTGCGGGAATGCAACATTGGATAAACCCAGAGTGGAATAAAGTGTTAACATCCCTTTAATTATCTTGGGTTTGTGTACAATGTTTTATTGTGTGTCCAGACAGTCCCGACTGGACAATGAATCAAGTTTAATCCTGCAGCTAGTTCCAGTTACACTGCAAGACTGTGTTTTTAAGCAGGCAGCCTCATTCTTTCCTTCCTTTGAACAACCATCAAAAACAGACATCCAAAAAGAATCGAGCAATCATTAAAGTTTTTTCAGGCTTTGTATGGAAAAATTGTGATAACAGATATTAATGTTCAGATGGCACAGTGCGGATTGCACAGCTCATTTAAGAATTGACTGCCCCTCTCACACACACCGCCGCAGTAAGTTAACAGTCTGCCTCCATGCAGTTGTCGTGCGATTTAAGCAAGATGTCTGATTCGGGGCATTGTGCCAGACTCACCTGGGCTCTGGCTGAAGGTCATTCGTACAGCCCAACAGAGCGCAGCCCTGTTGTTTTGAGGCTGCCTGCAGTGGGGCGCGGTTTCTCACGACCACCTGGCGGTCAGTAATTCAGATAAATGCCTGCAGGGCGCTGCGGAGCTCACAGATCTTTATCAGCACAGAAAAGGCATAGGGACTTTGGAGCTGTTTGAAAGAGGCCCCGAAACGTAGGACAAAATGCCAATGAAAGGTCAAATAAAGTACCACCAACGGGATCAGCTTCAACTATTGCATTACAGATACACGAGGGGGACGCAGTGTGAAATATTGCAACGAATTGATACCGTGCTGTACATAAAGAGAATAGCTCTGCTCAGAACAACAGAACTAGCAGGAGCTCTTCCAGGTGAGAAATAATTGGTAAAAACATAAATATTGCACTTTGCATCCCTCCTTTCATGGGGACAGGCTCCTGTCAACGTGTTCATTAAAAACACAAAGGCAGCGGTCGTCACCACGGCCATGACGGGCGCGTTCTAATGAACTGCTCGCGTTCCCATTGAAGAGCTTGTTCACCCTGTCTGCAGCCGTCAGAAAGAGAGGCCGGGAGAGGGGAATGACCGATCAATGGCAGGATCGCTTGGCTCAGCCCGCCCTTGTCAGCACCGGCCCAGGCGGCGGCTGCTGGCGGGTGGGAGACGTCTCCAACATCCTGTGCCTCTCTGGACTTCGCCGGCCCGCGGGAGGCAGAGCTCCTGGCCTGCCTCACACTTTTTTCCCCCCATTTTTTTCCATTCCTGTAAGCAGCGCAATAGGGGAAGATAAATAATTGGTTTTGCTTTTATCTTCTGTCGGCAGCGCAGTGCTGCGCATAGTCAGCTATGAGTGCCAGATCGGGGGAAGGCTCAGCCAAGCCAGGAATTATTCCTATCAAGAGCCGTGTTATTTATAGGTCGACACAAATGGCGGTGTGACAACAGAAACGCTGTTTAAATAAGACCTGCGAGCCGTATTTTGGGAAAATTCCTCTTTCACGTGCAGAGGTTTTTAAACTCAGACGTGCGTCTGAGTTAGGATTTAGACTTGCAGTCAGGAGTGCAAGAAAAAGCTTGAAACAAAGCTGCTTCTAACAAATTGTGTTATTATTTAAAGCTTCATTGTACTGTAACTGTGTACAGAACACTAATATGTAACCAATAACAAAATATATTTTTTATTAAATAATATTAAACAGGTATTGACAGAACTCTCTGAAACGTACAAAAACAATATTTCATTTTGTAGAAAGCAAGCATTGATGTTTCGACTGCTAGGAGTTCTTCAAATAAAGTGGGCAAATTTACAGTGCTTATAGTGTTTAGCACGTGTTTCCCGAGTTGATTTGTATGACAGCTGGCAGGTATTACGCAGGTAATTTACGATTGTCTAGAAGGGATTATTGCAGATTTTTATTGCACAAAAGCAAGTCTGTTTTAATAATCGAAAGTGCTTTGAAGCCAGTGTAGTGTGTTTTAGTGAATACAACCACTTAAGGCTGCCAATTTACTATAAAGACTACATGCCAGCTACCTGCTCTGTGTTCCAGGTTTGTGTGAGAGCTGTTCTGCCTTAACAGCTACTAATGCTACTGTGACCAGACGTGTTTTCAAGCATGTCTCCCTGTCAGCTTAATAGCATGTACTGTATTCAGATATGTCGTGTATGTTTCAGCTCAATTGGTTCCTCCCTTGAAGCAAAGCAAACATATTAGCCTGAGTTATTAAAAAGCAGAGCTTGATGGCAGACAGCTACTCCCGAAAGCCGAGAAGAGACTTTTCCGCAGTGTTTCCGTACAAAGGCGACTCAGGTTGGCAGGATGAGTACCGGGAGTCATCTGTTGTACTGTATGCTGGCAGTGCAGGGGACCCCTGTGCAGGGCAGGACAGCAGCACGAATGTGAACTTCAAGACAGCACCCAGCACCCAGTCTCGCATGTTGATCAGAAAAAAAAGCACCACACACACTATGTGAGCATCCAGGAGTGGTCGAAAAACCCTCCGTTTTCAAAAGCACTACTTATACACAGATATGGCTGGGCTGCCCCTCAGCCCCTGAGGTAAAGGGTTCTCTTGATTAAATGTATTGAGTTACTTCAGTGACGTGACAAAAGCAAAAACACCCTTTTGAGACAAATAGGAGCTCCATACCAGCCTGGCAAGGCTGTCGCTTTTGTGAAATGGATTGAAACTTGGCGCGATCCAGCTTTCCAAAGGTTCAGAAAGCAATTCAGACAGCGAGAACTGCAGCTCCTTATAGCATCCTGAAACATACTGAAACTCTTGCGGAAAGTATTGTTGCAGAAACAGGCTTTCTTTTTGTCGCCGTTTTTAAACGTGAATACTGTAGGTGGCACTTTGGGAGCATCTGTTCCCAGTGGAAGTCAGTAAGCCATTCCTCTGAATGGAGCAGGACTATGCAGATATGTAGAAAAGGGTTCCCCATCTTGCTAACTCGGTTTCTAGGTCTGAGGATCACATTAATTCTTTTTCTAGAAAGGCCTAAAGGAATCAGCATCAACCACTACCCACTGTGTCACAAAGTGTTAACACATCTCTTAACATGTCAGTGTACTGTTGGACATATTATATAGACCAGAAACTCATTCAGTGATTTTTCCTTGATCTCTTTCCAGGACAGCAATGTCCTTTATATGATGTGTGACCAGAATATGTGCACAGCATTCTAGACAAGGTCTGATATATTTATTGAATAAATTAAACAATAACGTCCCTTGATTTAAATTCTGCGCTTACTTATAGTATTTACTGTTGTCCAGAAGAAGATAGTAATGAGTAAACACATTTTTCCTAAATCTATCACCTAGGGTGCTGCTTCAAGTCTCCCATCATCCATCTGGTATTTTTGTATGGGTTCACATCATCATAAACCAATGTATTCCTCTCAAGCAGGCCGGAAATGAATGTGCAGAAGCTGCTTGGTGAATGAAGCAAGGTATTTCATACTTAAAGTGGGTTGGGGGTTTTAAGGATTTGATTAGAAGGAAGAGGAGCTCTATTGTGTGTCTTTACTCATTTGGCACACTTCAAAGTGAGCATGGACAGTGTTAGACACGGAGGCAAAGAGCTACAGTAGAGATTATAAAAATTTACAAGAATGGTGAACTCAGTTTTTTTTTCTATTGTTTTCCTGCTTTCTAAATTGACCGATTACACAGGAACATGAGTGACTATGGTAAGCATTGATGATTCAATCTAAAGTCTGCTGTCGCCTGTCAACCGGTGATTAAGATTAATTTGCACTGCATGTCCTGTGAAAGACACTGGGCACATGTTAGATTGCTTTACTGAGCCGTGCAGTGTTCTATCATATATCAATATTGTATACCACTCACTATACTCTCCAGAAGTTTCATCAGAACCTCGGATGTGGGTCGAGATGCAGTGCTCAGCGAACGCTTGTGATGTTGACTAACGTAATCAATGGGGAAAGAATGGCAAAGTCAGGAAAAAAGAACTCTGTTCTGCAGAGAGCACTATTAAAAACTGTCACTGAACAGATGAAAACCCATTACAAGGAACAACGATGCTGGATTGAATGAGAAAGAGACGCCATTCATTATTCCCCATCCAGCGTGTCAGGGGCTCTCATTAAGTTGATTTAAAGCTGGGCATTTTTTTATTTTTTGGTGGGGGGTGAAAGAAAAATGAAGATTCTTATGAATTTGAGTGCTTGAATTTTGGTACATGGTGAATAGGAATATCAAATGGAAAGAGGCTATTTTTGGTTTTCCCAAGCTGGCGGTCGGTGGGTCTCCATCTGAACACCATGCCCCCCAAAGCCTGGGTTTGGTTCCTGTGTTGAAATTGGGACTTTGGCTTTTCTTGCTACTGGCAGCGGCTCTTGTCTGACCAGCACTGGCCGCAATGCAGACAGCAGCAAGCTACTAGCAATGCAATGAGCATAACGGGAGGAATGGCCTCCACCCGTTTCTGACCTTATGACATTATGCTGTAACTCTATTAGCCCACTGAGGACTGCTGTCGAGAGGTCTACTGCACGCGCTCTTCCACAATCACAGGCACGTTCTTTCAGACCTCCGTGGACCGTTGATGTGTGACGGATGTCGCTGGGGCTCTTCGTCGGTGACAATTAATGGAAAATAACAGAAATAATATCCACAACAATCTTTTTGATCCCCCTATACAGCAGTTTAAAAAAAGATGAGGGAATACTTGATCGAACCTACACAAGAGCATCAGCCACCACAGTTTCTGATTGCCATGTTTCGTGATATCCCTCACCGCCCCACAAGGTGAATGGGAGAGTGGTGTTACCTGAAAGCTCTTGGGGTCCAAGGTCCTGGTGCTCTCCGAGGCCACTTTCAGCTTGCTGTTCACTTCGCTCACGAGGGACCCGGTCTTAGTGATGTACTGCAGGTCTCTCTCTGTCCGGAGATGCAGCACCTCCATGGACTGCGAGATGTTCTGTACCTGCAGAGGAGAGAGAGCGAGTTTATCAGAGGGGTGGGGAGGGTTCTGTTTCCTTATTTTTTTATTTTCTGGGTTGGGAGCGGTGGACAGGGCATATTATTCAGGTGTGACCCTAAGTGTAGCATGTTGTGTAGTTCACAGTAGGTGTCACGATTGTAGTCCCTCCTACTTAAGGGCGCTCCAGCTCTTTCACTTTGGATTTAATTCTGTGCACCTGACCCCTGTTCCCAGTCCACTTTAAAAGCCAGGCACTGACGTTCATCCGGGCTCTGCATCTCATTTCCATATCGTGCGAGTCAGGGACCTGGAAGCGCCTGGTCCTGTTAAGGTTTTAATCTCTGTTCCCGTTCCCTGTCTGCCGGTTCCGACCCGGTTCATGTTTTTAATTCCTTGTTGGATGGATCACCTGGCTATGGATTTATTCTTGTGTTCTTGGATTCCCTCTCTGGATTACTTTTGGATTGTTTGCCTCGGCCACACCTCCCCCGTGCACCAGCGCACTTTGGACACGCCCCCCTGTTTTTATCCCCGTATTCCTGGATGAACTTTTTCCTAGTGTTTCCTCACGATTCTGGATTGTGTCGTCCACATAGGGTCCGGAAAGAACTGTTCGTTACAGCAGGCTTGGAAATCATGTGATGAGGTGGACTCAGAGAACCAGGATTGCGTACCCTAGCCCTAGGCAACAGGCTTGCTCAGCGTGGGACAATCCTGTCTTTCAGCATAAGAACATGAGAGTCTAAAAACAAGGGGAGCACATTCAGTCCATTCAACACAGGGTAATAGCTTCTACAACACTCATGGGAACCCCATCACCCTTAAAAGGGCCTCTACTTCTCCACTTTCAGTGCATTCGTTTCTGCATGTGACCTCTGGTTTGTCTGGTTTGTGTTTCTTACTGTTGGCTTCTATAGAACTGACCTCTCTCCTGTCTGTCAGTGAAAAAGATGTGTTAATATATTAGTGACCACTATTCACATCTGCATCTTTGGAGGTGAACTCTGTCCAGTGTCCACCTCACTTCTGCAGGCTAATGTCTCTGCAGACTGAAAACCTGCTTTCTTCCTGTCTGAAACCTGATTCAGAGTTCACAGACTTTTTCTGCTGCTCGAGCTTTCAAGTCAAGCAGCAGAATGATTACATACTGTATACTGTAGTACGTAATGACTCAGATTGGCTCTGCACAGCTACACAGGGATAAATCCTTCAGTTTACTTGAGCTGTTTGCTCATGACTTTGAATTTAATCTGAAGCTGCTGCTGTTCAGTTTTGTTTAATTCAGGACTATCAATATCTGAGCAATTACCATACTTAATTCTGAGTGAGTGATACAGCTGGTACTCCCATCATTTTTTTTTCTTGAAATTTGCTTAGTGATTTGTAGGTTTTGTTATTTTATGAGAGAGGCCTTCTGTCTTTCACAACATTGCTGTTTTTTTTTTTGCCCTGCACTGTTTGCTAGGGCCTCATTTAGTTTGGACTTCACATTATTTTGTTGCTGTCTTCCTAGATTTTATCAGCTCCTCCCTGGGTGCACCCACTGTTTAGGAATATCTTGCAAACGCAAATTAAATGTCATTTAGGCGACAGAAACCTAATTCCGTAACAATCTCCTGAGCTTTCCACTGTCAACAGAGAAACTGTTCTCACTCCATGGAAACAATTCCAATTCCTCTGAGTGACAGTCCCAATAAAATTCAACTGCTGCTCCAGAAGACACAATTCCAGATGCATAGATGGTGTTTAGCTGAAGGTGTTTATTTTCCAAATCATGGGTTCTGGGTTCAAGCCCATGAGTTTTTCCAGGGTCCTCTGTGTCACATGCTGTCCTGAAGGAGTTGCGGGGCTTCTTTGCTCATCATCGTTTGGGTAAGGCGTACTGCAACACCAGCTGATGATGCCCTAGTTCCCCACTAGACTTTGTTTAAGAGCGTCTACTATATGGCTGATTATCATTAAATACAGACAGGAAAAAGCGGAGAATAACCTGTCACATTGCAAGCTGGGCACAGTTGCTGTACTTCACTGTTCACAGTGGGGCCTTGACTGCTCTGTTAAAGACCTCAGCTCGTTTGCCTAAGCTTTCACCGCTCTGACTCACAGGCCAAAAGAAATGTCCTTTGCCAGCTGGAGTGTAGTTAGTAATACAAATAAGGAAAACCTTTCTTTATAGACACATCTCAGCAGTAAAACAGGACAAAGGCACAATGAAACAGACAGGTATGCAAAAATTAATAAAGCCGATAATATGGCTCCATTTGAGTCAATAGCTGGACAAGAACCTTGTATCAGTTAGCTACTGAAAACCACATGAGCTGGATGTCTTTCTCTCATCTGTGACCTTTCTTACATTCTTATGTTCCTGATCCAACAAAGGGGAAAAAAAGGATGTTGCTGTTATCATGTACCTCCTCTACAGTTTGTAGAACCTGCTGAATTCTGTGATTTACCCATTTCTGGCTTCTGTGCTTCCTAATGAGCACAAACTCAGCAGTTAGATTAAAAGTGTTTACTGTATGAGGGTCAGTCTGTCTGCACAATCAATTATGGCCCCATGTGTGCACAGAATAGGTTTGTTTACTGGGTTTGGAACATAAACTCTTAATGGCCCATCACCAAAGCTGGTCTGCCGCTACTGCCTAACTGCTCGATGGGGATTTCGTTGTTTTGTCATGTTAGCAATGTCTTCCCACGCAGTCATGACTCAGGAGCAGCCAGAAGGCCTGTAAATGTAGCCTGTAGACCCTGACGTGTTTGGCCAAAGACATGTGGCCTTTTACACTGTCAGGCTTTCCATAACTTAAAAACTCACACTGTGCACAAAAACACAATGAGGTACTAACCTGATCTTTTAACCCATCAACATAATAGTTAAGCAATCCAATGTACTGTAATTGGTGTCAGACAGATGTGTCTCATCTGGATTAAGAAGCATTTTGCTGATTGCATAATTTCTTACAATAAGGCTGTCGACTCTGGAAGGCTGTCAGTGAATAGATCTCTAAAAGGATATAACCTGTTTCTTTCTTATTGTATTTTTCTAATGAGCTGCAGTAAATCTTGTGGAATGCCAAGTGCCTGCCACATTTTAAATTCAGAGCCTCCTTAAATTTAATGCCCGAGACACAGGATGCTGATGTAAGACTCTATCAGGGAGGCTTGAATGACGAAATCAGAAAAGAGAGTCTTTTACTGCCTTTATTGCAACACCCACCCCACCCCCCCCCCCTCTTCTGTAACTGTGATAGTCAGGCAGTCAGAGACTCTCAGGCCAGATTAGCCCTCCTGACCTGACAAGGAGGACAAATACCTTTTCTTCCTTAGTGACAAGATGTAACCATGGATCTAATTATAGAGTGCCTATATATGCAGTAGCCAAGCAGCAGGGGGCATCACAGAGCACTGGAATCTCCTACATTATCATAAATCATGGGGAGCACGGTCACATGAGCCCAGCAACAACCCTAACAGGCTGGCATGGTTAAAGGCAACACATCGCAATTTACAGTTCAGTCACCCTCGGAAACGAAATGCATCCTTTGTGTCTGTAGATTGATTTTGATCAATGACTCTGTCCATATATAGAACGTTGACATATTAAAATGAACTATCCCAAAATGGAGAGAATATGCATGAATGGGGTAATTGCTAAGACAAGCAGCATCTGTATATCTTGGGCCTTGTGCAGTGCGTAGGGCCTGATGTCGATGATCGTACTGGTTGGTAAGATTTATATCAAGGTTAGATAAGCAGAAGAAATGCACAGAATATCCATTTATATTCGTATGTTGCTTTGCACATACTGTATGCTTTTATAAAAATAAAAAAACTAGTAATAAAAATTGCAAACAATATTGAATATTGTTGAATTTGATGGGAAGGGAATGTATCCACATGCAAGAGAAAGAAGTAGATACTGTATGTTCTCAGACGTTCAGGCTGGCCACCCTTCCTTACATCTCCAGATTCAGGGAACCATTAGGTAGTAGATGGCTAAAGCACATTTTTATGTGATCACTAGCAGTCAGCAAGAATAATTAAGGAAAATGCCCTGTAATTTAGTCGGTAAGACTTGTTTGTGGACTAAATACAGCTTGGCAGCTGCTTTTAAAAATCTCACCTCCGCTTCTTAAACAAGATGCTAATTGTCTCCCAACGGCTTAAGTAATCATTCTCTTAAATGCAGTGAACTACACCAAAATAATGACTTAGAAATCACAAATTCTTGGTGTCATTTGCATTACATTGTAGCCATGATTTTTTTTCTATGGCTTGCAAAGACCTAATAATTGAATACAAAGAACCTTTAAAAAAGAATCCTCTAAAATCTGCCTGTCACATTAATCTCCTGAATTAAATATTAAAGCCTAGAATAACCCACTGAATTCCTTTATGCATTTAACAAGCAAAGCATTTTCCATGCTATGCTTATCCATGTTCTTCTGATGTATTTTTTAAAATATAAATTGGGATCTGTGGTGCAATTATAAAAGAAGTAATACTGCTTGAAATAAAAGTAGCTTGTTATACCAATACAAAATTGCTACGGTACTTTGAAAACTCAAATGCATAGCTAAGTGCATTTCTAGCTTCTCTGTTCTACAGTATGTCCATTTGCTGATAACCTCATCCCTGACATCTGCGGAGGTCTATACATATAGATTTGTAGCCCGTTTCTATCAGATCTTAGTTAAAAAAAAAAGTCCAGGACACTCACATAAATAACAACTACTGTACCATTGTAATTCCAGTTCGCTTTTTCTCAGTAAAATTCCAGAGTGGGCAGGGGCAGCTCAATTCAATCTCATTCTGCATCTAATGAGCTCTTTGAACCTGTCCATTGGGGGCTTAAACAGTGTACTGAAACAACCCTTTTTAAAGTACTTAATGAATTACTGTTGGCTTTAACTCTTGGTGTCTTAATATTCCCCCCCTTGTGGACCAGCAACTTTTGATATTTGTATCTTACTGGGGTACACAGAAGATTATGTGGGATCGGC